ATAGCCCCCCCCCCTCCCTCTCTCTCGTTCTATCTTTCTTTCTCTCTCTCACTCTTTCTCTCTCTCTTTCTTTCTCCGTGTGTGTGTGTGTGTATATATATATATATATCCCTCCTTCCCTCTCTCTCTTTCTGTCGCTCTTGTCCACGGTCTTAGTCTCATTGCTTTTGCTACCTTAGGGTTGAGTTCCTCGCGCCTACACGGTAGACAATTATTACGGCCACGGTATAGTGGGCTTCGGCGTGTGTGTTAAGGTGTCGTATTTTTTTAGGCGGGCGACCAGGACGCAAAGCGGGTTCTTAGGGGGCAAAAGAAATTGAGAGACCAGTCCTTGGCAAAATTGTATACTACCTACAGCTAGTTGTGGTAGAACCGGAACTTCTGGAAAAGGGAATGACTAGTCCTCGGTTGGAAGTGTGGCCCCCAAAAGAAATTAGGGGCGTTGCACCAGTCCTTGGGTAGAAGCGGACCCCACAAAGAAGTGAGGGCATGTGAACTACAAAAGAGCCCTCAAGCTTGGGCGTTGAGACCCGACGTCGCAAAACTGGGAGGTCACGTGCAACAAAACAAGCGTTTTGCAAAAGGCAACTTTGGTGATTTTTTGTACGTGGAGGCACCTGCAGAAAAATATAAAATTATGAGAATCCATAAATGAGGTTCTGTTTTTTCCATAAAAAATATTATAACCTAGGTTGCTTTATCGCACGTCCGGGACCCCCCTGACCGTCCGGGACGTCCAACCGGACGTTTGGTCGGACGTCGGACCGGACAGGGGATGTCCGACGTAGCAAAAAAAAAAAAAATCATGTGGCTTCTACCTTGCATAAGGTGTATGCCACCAAAATTTTGGCTTATTTGAGTCAGTTGACAAAAAGATAAAAATCTTCAAAGATTTTAGTCCCCACCTATACCCTTCCTATCCCCACCAAGACCCCTAGTACCCCCCCCCCCCACCCCAAATAGCACCTTATCACCAAATGCTCAAAAAATTCTGAATTTTTTTATGGGGGGTCTCTATTGCATGCGCAACACTGTCATAAGAGTTATTGATTATGTAAACTACATATCTGTAAATTTTCAGGGCATTTGTCAATGCCAAAAAATAATTAAAAATCGGCAAAGATGGCGGCGTCGAAAAGGTGCTTGCACACTCATTGATTTTAATTCTCTTTTTATTTTTTCTTATTTTTATCATAGTGTTTATTTTCTGTATTGGATTTTTAATTCTAATTTGGTAAAAAATTTGGATGTAGTGCCCAGACAAATATTGTTTAGTTTATGTTTCTTCATAACATAGTTTTGTTTCGGAATTTTTTGAAAACTTTGTTTTTTTTTTTTTTGGTCCGCGTTCGGCCCGAATGGCCGAACGCCTCCCGAAGGGTTCCCGTACGTTTGGGCGTTCGGGTTCGGGCGTTCGGCCCGTCCGGAATGCCGACAACCCTGTTTATATGAGTCGGTGAAACTCCGACGAAACAGTTTGTCACAACCCCTTGTTTGTTGTCCTCTTCTCCCTCTCTGCCTACGGTTTACCGGGCAGTTCTATTTGACGATATATACTACGACTTCGCTAGCTTCCTGCTACAGTTTTCTCCGGTCAGGTCGAGCGGCAGTGGTCGGGGCCGTCACTACGCGGCCATGCTCTGCCTCACGTGCCAGCGGCGTGTCTGGAGTGTATTTTTTGGCTGTGACAAACCTTTCTTTGTTTCGTGGGTGTTTTGCTGGCT